TTAATTCAGTATAAAAAATAAAAAAATTATTTAGTTTCGGTTCTTATTCGATTTTTCAGTTCTTGGTCTAGACCCGAGACCCCACTCAAACTCATCGGTTCTCGATTCAAGTACACGTTCGGGTATTTAATTTATGAAAAACCGCTCGATTCGATTCGATCCGGTTCGATTCGGGACTTTTAGACCCCCCTACAAATTACCAACATATCGTAGAAGAAATTTTCTTCAGATTCATCATATTAGAGCATATAGAATATTCACAATCCAACAAGCTCGGTGCTCTTAACAATATCAAACTTTACCTCAATTTTAGGACATGCATAACACTTCTAAATAACCATAACACTCCATCAAACATCCTTACTTTTACAGAACCCATACCCTTAATATCAAATTACTAATTCTCAGTCCTCATAATATTGTGTACATCACATGGCTTATAATCATCCAAACACTCATTGTTCAGGCACATATGATAAGAACATCATGAATCTAAAATCGAAGAGTTTACTGAGCTTTCATAATCAAGCAACAGACATAACATCACCTTCATGACAATATTTATCTACACATTTGTCGAATCTGATACCTCATGAGACTCTTGATTTCTCTTCACTTCGAGATTCTTCTTCAGCTCATGACAACTTCTCCTAATATGTCCCTTCTTATGACTGTAGTAATACTTCACGTCTTGTCCAGCACGAGATCGAGAATGATCATCTTGCTGACCGTAACTATTTCCTCGTAATACATCTTCACCACATGTTGTCTCGGACTTTGTCAAGAGAACTTGATCATTTAGAATACCACATGACTTTTTAATGTTGGTTGTTGTTACGAAGAAATAATCGAAACCTCATTCACTGTCAAAGTGAATTTTTCAATTAATGGTGTGATCGACAATGTTTCATATGACCTAAACAAGCATCTTTTAACACAATATTAGTGGCCATAAAAAAAGAAATAATTGCACGGTTATCGTATGTGTTTAGTTTTATAAAGAGATTTTGCATCATCACGAAAATAAACCTTTCTTTAGACACAATCATGATGTGAATTTTAAAAAGATATGGTCCACTTTAAGCACGTTTAGGATTTGGTTGTAATTAATTTAAATTATAAATAGATAAAAATGAGTGGTGAATAAGTGGGTAGTATTTATGAATTTAAAAAATATGTGGATAAAAAATTATTTAATCGATTATAAACATATGAAAAATTCAATATATAAGAAAGAATACAAAGAATTACGTGGTTCGACGTCAGTGTGGCAAACCTACATCCACGGGAGAAGAGAGAAGACTATATTCACTTATATTTGAAGTGTTACAATGACACATATATATAGTCATATTACACAAGGTTACATTATTAAAGATGAGACAATCACG